AGGAGGAGGAAGGACGATCACGGCGACAACGACGACGGAAACGACCACGACGCCAAAGAGGACGACGACGACGAACACGAGGAAAGACAGGACGACGCAGGCGACGACGACGACGACGCGGGAGGAGGGAGGACGGCGACGACGACGACGACGCAAGAGCGCGCGCGCAAGCTTTTGTTGAAAATCCGTGTTGCGAAACCTGGTGTTTTTGTAGGTTTTTCGGACACACGATTTTGAAATCCTTCCGAAACCAATGGGTTTTCAAGGATTTCGGCATACGCGCGCGACGACGCGGGCGTCTGCACTTCGTCCCTTTTTTCCAGAGGATTCTCGCGACGGCGCACGCGCAAGGTCGTTCGACAGATTTCGACATGCGCGCGCGCGAAGCCCGCTTGGTAGCATTTTATGAAAATCTTGAAAAACTGATGGTTTTCTTAAGATGTCGCAAGGGCTCGCGCGTAAGCTTTTTTAGCAAATCAGTGTTGCGAAACCCTTTGTTTTAGATGTTTTTTTGAAACTCGATTGCGAAATCCTTCCGACACCGAATGTATTTGAAGGATTTCGGCATGCGCGCGCGACGACGCGCGCGTGTGCACTTCGTCCCGTTTTTTGCACGGGATCCGCGAACAAGTCTCATGTTAGAGCAAGAAATGTCCCCGCGTATTGTTTTTTAACAAGGGAGCCTTAGGGGAACCGATACCGGCCCCCTGGGATAGTGTAAATTCATATTTCGGATGGGCATGTGGTCAGAATCATACATGATTTACGTACCCGAAAAGGGGGGCGGATAACGCCCCGGGGGGGTAGAGCCTATTCTCTTTTATGAGGAAGGAGAATCTGTTGAAATGTGTGTAGGGGGGACGCATATTGGAGACCATGCAAGGGACCATGCGGGAGACCGTACGGGAGACCATGCGGGATGCCAGACGGACGACCACAGTCATGAGAGACCGGCGGGAAGCTTTATGGGCGGACATATTTGTTAGTGTGTGTGGGATACAGATTGGAGTCCTTACGAGAGACCATGCGGGAGAACATGGAGCAGACCATACGGGAGACGATGCGGGATAATGTGCTGGAGACCTGAAGTGTGGGAGGCGAGCGGGAGACCTTTGTGGGAGGACAAAGAGGATTCGGGGTTTTCACATGGGGGGCCATACAAGAGACCGTGTGGAAGATCGTACGGAGGACTACATGAGAGACCATGTGCGATACCATGCCGGATACATACCACAAGTATGGGAGACGAGCGGGAGACCTTTACGGGAGGACGTGCAGGATAAGGGGGGCATGAGGAGACCATGAGACCATCGTCGACCCAAGGAATTTGACGGGACCATCCGGCAGTTTCTTGTGTATGTAACTTACTTTCAGTCTCCCAAAGAAGTCCGCACCTCGGAAAATGCATGTGTACGCCGCCAGCGCAACCTCTCCATGGATTTCATGATCAGTAGACTTCCGTTTCCTCCCAATGTCCTTAGCATGCCATTGCGGCTTGCTGTGTTCGGCGGAGTAGTTTCGGCCCCGCCACGGTTTCTAAGTTTTTTTGGGCCAAAAAGATCTGGGGCCCACAACTACTCCGCGCCAATCCTTATATTTCATTGGACGGGACGTGACTTCGCGCGGAGCAGGTGCAGCTTCGCCTGGTCCGCCTCTTCCGCGGGGTCGCATTGACTGCGAACCAGGATCGGTGAAGAGCTCCTAACGGCGATGTGTTCCGCACCGTGGGCTCCTAGGAGAGGAGGAGGAGGAGGAGGAGGAGGAGGAGGAGGAGGAGGAGGAGGAGGAGGAGGAGGAGGAGGAGGAGGAGGGGAGGAGGAGGAGGAGAGGGAGGAGGAGGAGGAGGAGGAAGAGGAGGAGGATGAGGAGGAGGAGGAGGAGGAGGAGAGGAGGAGGAGGAGGAAGGGGGAGGAGGAGGAGGAGGAGGATGAAGGGGGAGAAGGAGGAGGAGGAGGAGGAGGAGGAGGAGGAGGGGCCTCCCAGGATCCACGAAGTTTGCTCCTCGAGCCTCGTCGAGAACGCCAGCCCCTGGACCCCTCCCGCGGTCCGCCCGGGCAGACGTTTCTTTCCCGCTCGACAGGATCCACGAAGTTTGCTCCTCGAGCCTCGTCGAGAACGCCAGCCCCTGGACCCCTCCCGCGGTCCGCCCGGGCAGACGTTTCTTTCCCGCTCGACTTTTGAAGGCCCCTGGGCTCGAGCGGCGGTCCTCGATCCCTCGAGCCTCGGCCTTCGATCGTGAGTCCAGAAGCCTCGATCTGCGAACGTCGATCCTCGAGCCTCGTGGCCCAGAGAGGCCGGCCCCTCGGCGTGATTCATAGGCTTACGCCGCACCGTCGACCCCTTGGGGTGCTTCGGCCGGCCCCTCGGCGTGATTCATTGGCTTACGCCGCACCGCCGATCCCTTGGGGTGCTTCGGCTTATGGGGGCGTCTTGGAGGCTTCTTGGGGCCTCATGTTGGTTCCTTGGGGTTCTGCTGGCGGTCACGGTGGTCTCTTTGGGGCGGAGTGTCCGAAATTTCAGCTCGAGCTTCTTCTCTTGGCACCGGAAATTGCGAGGAAGCCGACTGCTGCGTCGCTACCGCAGGGGAAGCCGGAGGAGCCCCCGAGTGCGAAGAGCATGCGCCTCAGGACGCGTCAGCGCAACCTGGGCGCTTCTTGGGCGCTTCTTGGGTGCACGAGCACCCCCCAGGGGGTCGGCCGGGTTTTTTGTTCGTGGCGTGGGCCCCCCAGGTCTCGACCGCTTTTTCGCCCCAGATCCGCTTTCGACGGCCCTGGGGCCCGAAATTTCGTAGGAGGAAAAGATACCAATACAGCCGGGGCCCTGAAGAAGAAACCCTTTTCGTTGGGGAGGGGCTCCGCGTTCCTTAAGTGTTTCGCGGCTTGCCTCAGGTTTTCCTTAGGTTTTCGATGCGAGATCGAAGTTCAACTTATGGAAAAAAGGGGCCTCGTTCCTTATTTTGGGTTCCTTAGGTCAAGCCCCCGACTGTACCGCTGCTCGCCCTGGAGTGCCCTCGTCGCCACGGCTGGAATCTCCTCGAAATGACGGTCGGAACGCACCCCTGGTGAGGTCCAGGGAGCAGCGGCATCGGTACTTTTTCCTGCCCCCCGAGAGCGCCCCCCCGACGGCCGATGTGAAGGACAACACGTGCCAGCCCGACGTCTGGAGATCTTTGTGATATCGTTTTCCATCCTCTGGCCCGCAGCGGTCGTCGTCGTTCCCCGGGCCAGCCTCCCTCTCGGGTGACGGCCGCAGCGCTGCGCATGGAGTTCGGGGTGGGAGGCCCGTGCCCCCCCCACCGCATGCTGGAGCCCGCGCGCAGGGCGGCGCCGCCCCGCCCCGCCCACGCGCTGGCGTTGCCCCAGGCCCCCCCCCCCCCTTCTCCTCCCCTGGGGAATGACCGTTGCGGAACAAGGCCAGAAGGAGCAAGCTCTCCGACGCTTGGAGGTCTTTGGATGTCCCTGGAGGCCCCCAGGAGGTACCCCAGGCCCACCCCTCCCCCTCTCTTCCCCTCGGGAACGGCCGTTACGGCAAAGTGCTGGAAGGAGCAGGCTCTCCGACGTTGGAAGGTCTTTGGAGGCCCCCGGGAGGCCCCCGGGAGGCCCCGGGAGGAGCTCCGAGCGCCCGCCGAAGGCCTCCGAGGTGCCTCCGAGGGCCTCCGCAGGGGGGGAGGGGAGAGGCCCTCCTCTTCCCCTGGGGAACGTCCGTTCCGGAAGAATGCTGGACAGAGCAAAGCTCTCCGACGTTTGAAGGTCTTTGGAGGCCCTGGGGGCCCCCAGGAGGCCCCCGGGAGGAGCTCCAAGAGCACCCGCCGAAGGCCCCCGAGGTGCCTCCGAGTGCCTCCGAAGGTGGGGAGGGGCGAGGCCGTGCTCCTCGGAGGCGGGAGGAGGAGGAGGAGGCGGAGGAGGAGGAAGAAGAGGGGAGGAGGACGAGGAGGAGGAGGAGGAGGAGGAGGAGGAGGAGGAGGAGGAGGAGGAGGAGGAGGAGAGGACGAGGGACGAGGAGGATGAGGAAGGAGGAGGAGGAGGAGGAGGGAGGGGAGGAGGAGGAGGGATGAGGAGGAGGATGAGGAGGAGGAGGAGGAGAAGGAGGAGGAGTAGTAGAGTAGTAGTTAGTAGTAGTAGTCGTAGGAGGTAGGTAGGTAGTCAGTAGGTAGGTAGTAGTAGTAGTAGTAGTAGTCGTAGTCGTAGTCGTAGTCGTAGTCGTAGTCGTAGTCGTAGTCGTAGTAGTAGTAGTAGTAGTAGTAGTAGTAGTAGTAGTAGTAGTAGTAGTAGTAGTAGTAGTAGTAGTAGTAGTAGTAGTAGTAGTAGTAGTAGTAGTAGTAGTAGTAGTAGTAGTAGTAGTAGTAGTAGTAGTAGTAGTAGTAGTAGTAGTAGTAGTAGTAGTAGTAGTAGTAGTAGTAGTAGTAGTAGTAGTAGTAGTAGTAGTAGTAGTAGTAGTAGTAGTAGTAGTAGTAGTAGTAGTAGTAGTAGTAGTAGTAGTAGTAGTAGTTAGTAGTTCGTAGTAGTAGTAGTAGTAGTAGTAGTAGTAGTAGTAGTAGTAGTAGTAGTAGTAGTAGTAGTAGTAGTAGTAGTAGTAGTCGTAGTAGTAGTAGTAGTCGTAGTAGTAGTAGTAGTAGTAGTAGTAGTAGTAGTAGTAGTAGTAGTAGTAGTAGTAGTAGTAGTAGTAGTAGTAGTAGTAGTAGTAGTAGTAGTAGTAGTAGTAGTAGTAGTAGTAGTAGTAGTAGTAGTAGTAGTAGTAGTAGTAGTAGTAGTAGTAGTAGTAGTAGAGTAGTAGGAGTAGGAGGAGGAGGAGGAGGAGGAGGAGGAGGAGGAGGAGGAGGAGGAGGAGGAGGAGGACTAGGAGGAGGAGGAGGAGGAGGAGGAGGCGGAGGAGGAGGAGGAGGAGGAGGAGGAGGAGGAGGAGGACGAGGAAGAAGAGGAGTAGGAGGAGGAGGTCGCTCTCCTCGGGTCGGGCACTCGTTTCCCGGGGGGCACCCGTTTCCCGGGGTCGCCCTGGCGCAGGAGCGGAGCCTTCGGACAGGTGCGGGCGTGCTGGCCGAAAGGAGCCCGCGGGGGGGCGGTGCTGCTCTTTAAGAGCCCTCTCTCTCCCCAGACATGCTCGCGTCGCAACAAAAAATCAGAACGGAGGTTTTTGGCCATTTTAGGCCTCGGGGAGCCCTCGCCGGGCCCCAGGACCGTCAAAAAACGGTTCGGGATGAAAAGCCGGCCCTGGGGAAAGCGTGGGGACTTCTGGGGACCGCGTAGTGAAAAAACAAAAGGTTGCATGCCTGGATCTCTCCCTGCGACCGATTGCGAGCTCTATGTTCGGATGCAATTCCGCTGATGTTGAATTCAGAATCGGCGCTGGTGTGAATCGTTGGTCGAAGACCGTCCCAGCCTAGTCGAGTTCCGATGAATTGTCCCTAATCATTATGACGAAGACTTCCCAGAAGTTGCCTCCCAACCTCTATCGCCCCCCCCCGCCCAGTTGGCAGCAGGCATCCTTCGCACTCTGAGTTCAGAAGTCTGACCTGCAGGGGTCGGATTAGCATGTGGTCGCCTAGGTCGTTGTCGTCGTCTCATCCAGGCATTCCACATGGGGTCTGGGTAGATGGGGTCGGTGGATCGTGCGGCGTGGCGATGCGGCTCGATGTGAGCCTGGTTTTCTCCACGCTGACGTCTCCAATGCATGGGCGATGCATTGGCAATGCGGCGCGAACCTCCCACCCCATCTACTACTCGGACCCCGTGTTGGAGACCTCCAGCGTAGCTCATTTAAAGCGTTGTGATGGTTTCCAGTCTTGCGGTTCTTCCTCCCTTTGATCTTCTAAGGATTACTGCCAGAGCCGTCCACAGCTTGATGCGATCTCCGACATTCTGGGCCATTCGCTGCCGTTCGATGCACTTGCGTGAGCGAATCTTTGTCGCCGACGGCTTTCGGTGGTTGTTGACAGTGCTGTTTGACGCACTTGCGTGAGCGAGTCGTCGTCGCCGACGTTTCTCTATGGTTTTGGAAGGTGCAACCAAGCCGCTGAAACAACGCCCACTTTGGGCTCCAGATTCAGTTCGTGGAGTCGAATCGTGCCCAAGGCCCACGGTGACCGGATAATCCATGTCGTTCATTGTTCAGAGTTCCTTATGGCAGCACGGTGACTGACAGCGAATATAGTGAATCCATCGCAAGTGGTTGCGGGTTCTTCAAGGTTCTTGAAAGTTTCCAGGAGTTCTCAGTCATCGCCATCGTCATCGTCATTTTCGTCGCCACCGCCGTCGAGGACGGGATTGCGAGGATCGACCTTGAAGGATCAAGGTTTTGGCTGGTTTTTTGGCTCCAATCAAGCTTGCCTATCGGAGTCCTGGTTCAAGCCGTAGAGAACTGGTCCACCGCCCCCCTCATATTTTGCCCTGGCACGGTCAAACTATGCGCATTGCTTCTTCTGTTTGTGCATGACTTCCTTTGCTAATATAACGTACGACTTCCCCTGTATCCGCGTCCCAACAAACGTCCAACAATCGTCAACGTCAGAAGTAGAGTCGAGTAGAGTCGAGTAGAGCAGAGTAGAGTAGACCTAATACTAACATATTGTTAGAGTAGAGCATAACGGAGTATAACTGAGTAGAGCCGAGCAGAGTAGAGTATGATGTAATACAGTAGAGGCGAGCAGAGAGCAGGAGTAGAGTAGAGTCGAGTCGAGTAGGGTAGAGTAGAGTAGACTAGAGTCTGAACAGAGTAGGGTAGCGTATGATCGACTTCTTGAAGGTCGGGCCGGCAGAGTAGAGTAGAGTAGGGTAGAATGTCGGGGATGGAGCCAGGTATAGTAGACTATATTTGAGTAGAGTAGAGGATATTCTATTGGGAACAGATTACTGTCGAGTAGCGCAACATAGGGTGGAGTGGAGCAGAGGAGCGTACAGTATGTATAGTATGGTAGGGTTGGAGCAGAGTCGAGTACAGTAGAGTAGAGCAGAGTAGGCTAGGGCAGGGTAGGGTGAGGTAGACTAGAGTAGAGAGTAAATCAGAGTAAGGTAGAATAGAGTAGGGTAGATGGTGTTGGTATAATGACGTATGTAATTTAGAATGGAGTGAAGTAGAGTCGGGTAGAGTAGGGTAGAGTGAGTGGAGCAGAGCAGATCTATCCAGTCAAGACTAGTCTAGTCCAGTCTATCTAGTCCAGGCCAATCCAGCCCACCCCAGTCCAGTCCAGTCTGTTTCAGTCTACTCCCACTTCATTTCACTCTTCTGATCTAGTTGGAGTCTGCGCTAGATGATACTCCACCTTTCTTTGGGCCTCTGGGGTACCTCATCATTGCGATGGCTGGATGCACTTTAAAATTTTGGCGGTTACGGACTCCACGACAGGCCCCGGGGTCGTCGTCGTCGTTGTCGTCGTCGTCGTCGTCGTCGTCGTCGTCGTCGCTTCCTTCTCCCTCGCTGCGCTACTCGGCGGTTCTGGATCCCCTTCGGCCGTCCGCGGGGTTCAGAGGGGAAGCGCAATTATCGATTCTGCTGCCCTTCATCGTTTTTTCCGTTTGGGGCCTCCTTGGGCGCTCTCGTCACCATGGCTGGGTTCGCCTCTGAATGCTGGTCAGAACGCGTCTGGGAGGGGTCCGGGGAGTACCTGTATCAGTACCGTTGAATGCTCCTCGCCTCCGGTTTCACGTTTCTTTGGGGAAGTCTCCAGATGGTGAGCACAGTTGAGCGGGATCTTCGATCCACCGTATCAGGCTGTGCGCAACGTCTTCCATAGGCACGTGGGTTGCGGTCCCAAGTAAGTAGATGAGGACTACGGCAGCACCGCCTTCCCGACCCTCGTCCAAGTTGAAACCCGCGAGCTCAGAGGTTGTGCGTCATGGTGCGAACCACCCATACCGTAATACAACAGGTGTCCTATCTTGCGCGTTGGGGATGTGGGGTGGTCGTGAGAGGCTTGCCAGCTGTTTGAAACTTGATATTGAAGTCAGGCGTGCATGCATCCGGCGGAGAGCGACGAGGCATGGGCTTGCAACACGTGTTGACGGATTATCGGAAGTCATGTTTGGCGGCGGTCCCAGCGCAAGTGTCATCATAATAATGGTAACGACATGTTATCCGAGGCCACTTTTGCCCAAGGCGCACTGACTCCTACGAACCGCACCCAGCAGTCATCAGCAGTCCAACGAAGTCTGGCGTGCCCGCTTAGTATTCGTTTTCTGTGTCTACAGATGCACCTGAGGGATAAAAGCGCAAGTGCACCGCGTAGTACCATCTGGGAGGGGTGGTGCCCGTTTAGCGCGCACGTGTGGCCCGCGTTGTTTTGGCTGCCGCAACTGCCGCGATTTGGCTGCCGCAACTGCCGCGGTCGGATCCGGTGGCCTGCCAGGGCCTGGTGGGGGTTGGGGTCAGAGATCGTATTGATATGCGGGCTAAGGTTTATAGAAGGACGATGCGATACGAGGATGACGAGGATGAGGATCGATGGTGATGTGCGAGGGAAGGGTAGGGAAATGACGGGGATTAGGTTGCGGGGGGTTGCACAGTACCAGGTGTTAGCCCCGTTTTGAAAAGGTCCTCTTCGTTCCTGTAGCTGTTGCGCAGGTTTAAGGCCATGAAATCAGAGGAAGTCTTAATCGATATCTCGAGGTTCAAAGAGCTATTGCTTTCCTTTCGTATTATTGTTGGAACATTTTGAGGCGAAGGCGTGAGTTGCCGAAAAGACGAGACACATACTCATTCAACACAACGCACAGCACACAGCACACAACACACAACACACAACATACAGCAAACAGCACACAATACACAACACACACACCACACACAACACAACATAACACACACACGCCACGCAAAACACAACATACAACACATCACACACCAAACATCACACACCGCACACCACACCACACCACACACAACACACAACACACAACACACAACACACAACACACAACGCACAACACCGCACACAACACACAACACATCACACACAACACTAACACTTAACACACAACACACAACACGCAACCCACAACACGCTACACGCAACACGCAACGCGCACCACACAACACACAACATACACTATACAACACACAAAATACAGCACACACCACACAGCCCACAGCACACAGCACACACCACAACACACAGTACACCATATACATTACACAACATACAACACACAGCACGCAACACACACACCACACAACACACAGCACACACAACACAAGGCACAAAGCACACAGCACACAATACACAGCACATACCACGCACCACACAACACACACCACACAACACACGACGCACAACACGCAACACACAACACACAATCCACAAAACAACACACACCACACAACACGCAACACGCAGCGCACAACACACAGCACACAACGCACAACAGACACTACAGCATACAACACACAACACACAGCACACCACACAACATAACACACAGCACAGCGCAGAACACACAGCACACAACGCAGCACACATAACACAACGCATCACACAACACAAACACACACAACACAAACCACACACCACACACCACACTACACAACATGCAACACCACACACACACACACCACACAACCCACAACACACAACATGCAACAAACAACACATACCACACAGCCTGCAGCACACAGCACACAGCACACAGCACAGCACATACACACAACACACACACACACACCACACACACGCACACCCACACGCAGAATCACACTCACATTCACTCAGTGTGAAAGCAGATCGCCCTCCATCCTTGTGACGGTTGGAAGCCTTCAAGCCTGGTTTTCGCGGCGCCTGGGCATGCGCCTCCCAGCGCAACGACCTCTCATGGCCTGCAGCAGGCAGACCAGATAAGAAACTGACATTCCACGCGGGTGCTCCGCGAGAATAGCTTATCGGCCGATGGGTCCGCAGAGCGCTGGGGCACCCTACGAAGCTCAGAGTCGACGATGGGTGTGCCCCTAGATCTCTTATTGCCGATCCCAGAGATCCGAGGTCTTGTTTTTCTCAATATTGGGCCCCCGCAAACCCAGATCCCCTCCCCAGGGCCAGCTCTTGTACCCGGGGCCCGGCCAGGGCCCCCCAGAGGCCGAAAACGGCGACGATGAGGCTTGGACTTCTCACAGCAAGGGTTCTTGTCGTATGTGCCCAGCGTACAATGCCGTTTTTAATACATGCTCCGCGTGCGGACCATGTATTTGAAATGCAGGGATATAGTAGTAAAAACAACGATGAGTTCATGCCTAAATTTATTCATAGATTAATCATGTATTAAAAGTCCATTTTAAAAATCCTATGTATTAAGAACTGCCCTGTAGTGCTGCCGTGCCTCCCCAGGAGGCGATGGGAAGCAGAGGTACGCCGTGAAGGTGGTGGACACGAAGAGCGAGATCTTCAGGCGCTTGCGGCGGCCTTCCCTTTCCTCGCCCCTCCTTTTTCGCGCGTGCTCGCTCCTCCTTACCGCCCCTCTTCATTCTCACTCTTCCTCCCCGCTCCTCCTCACTCCCCCGAAGAAGGAAAACTGCCTGAACATGAAGTTTTGGAACTCTGCGTGGATTTCTTGGATCGGCGCTGGATCTCCCCCTGTCGGCGCCCCCGGCTCCGCCCTTGGCGCGCTCCGCGCGCCAGTCCAAGGCCGATCCAAGAAATCCGCGCGGAGCTCCGAAAGTTCATGTTTATGCAGTTGTTCCTTTCTCTACTCGTTCCTCCCCTCCCCCTCCTCCTGTTCCTCCTCTTTCTCACGCTTTCTCATCACTCCTCCTGCTTCCTCCCTACTCCTCCGTCGCCCTCCTGTTGATCTGGCCATGCATTGGGGTCCAAGGCAACTGTGTCCCGCCTCCGCCACTGCTGCTTCTCCTCTTTTGTTACTGCTCATCGACCTCGTCCTCGCTCTTCCACTTCCCCCTCGCTCCTCCACCCTGCTGCTCATCCTTCCTCCTCGCCCTCGTCGTCGTCGTTCTCCCCCCTGGCCGCTCCCAGGGTCTATTTTGACCCGACGATCCGATTCGCTATCGACTTTGGCCTGCCCAATCCGATTCGATTCCGAGATGTTGCCGATCCGATGCGGCCCGATGTTTGCATGGCGCTGACGTGTGTCCCGGCGCGGCCGATCCGATCCGACGCATATTCTGATGTGATCAGATTTCTACATTCGATGCTGACTGATCCTTCATCCCCGTTGGGGGCGGGGTATTTCAGGCACGCTGCGGCCTTCCTGTCCGCCCGGAACGAGGCCAACATCCTCAGGCTCGCGCGGCACCCGCACATCGTGGAGTTGATAGACGCCTTCGTGGGGGACTTAGCAGGTGAATTTGAAGGAGAAGGATGAGGATGAGTTGAAAGACAGAGGAGGATCATGAGGAGGAGGAGGAGGACAGATGGGGCGCTGAAGAAAGGGCCTCGGCTTGGAGAGATCGAGACATTGCTATCTCTTCCTTGGCCGAAGGCGTTGGACGGCGGAAGCAAACTGTGGGCGGCTCTGCCGGCGGAAGGCCCGCGGAGGCCAGCGGAAGTAGACGTCGGCCTTTCAAGAGATGGCAATGTTGATGGGTTCAGGGTTTCTTTCTTGGGGAACCTGGCAGAAAACCCATGAGTTGGAAGCACCCCTAGATGGCGCTGCATTGGATGGCTTGCAGCAATCTGATATCCAGCGCCTGGCAATATGTGGGTCGCACGGGGCTTACAGAGGGAATGTTCGGCGAGATTTGAAACGGCAGTTCTTCAACAATGTGTCAGTACCGAGGCCAATGGCCATAGATGGGAGCGGGCCAGATGAGGAGTAGGAGGAGAAGGAGGAGGATGAGGAGGGCAGATGAGGATGAGGACGGTGGGGATGAACGATCTTCGCCGTCGATATAGGGAGCGGGGGGAGAGTCGACGTGGAGCGAGAATGATGGGTGACGAGTCTTGAAGTGATGGCTTCTGGACGCCTTAACACCCTGAGCGTGCCCAGTTTCCCGGTGTAACCGCCCTCGCCACTGTGGTCGCAAGCGCCCAGCATGGGCGAACCGAGGTCGAGCGCTGGGCCAGAGCAAATCGTGGAGCAAACCGAGGTGGATCGCTGGGTGTGTGTGGGGGGGAGCTGGGGGGAGAGGAGTCATGCTCTGACCGTCGCAGGCTGCGACCGTCGCAGGCGTCTGACTGTCGCAGGCACGACGGCCTGACAGCAATGCCATCACTCGTCGCCGTCCTCCCAGTTAGGATGATGCAGTCCTCCAGTCTGCTGCAGCCAACGCTGTTTCTGTCCGGCCAGCGCTTCTGCTTTTGCTGTGGCGGGGTATTTGGCCGAGCAGGCCTGCTTGCAGTCGATAGGGAGGTTGGGGGTGGGAGGATAGCGCGTGCATCAATTCAACATGCCATCCACCGGATTTTCTGTTAGCGGTCCGGCTTGTGATCGGACTGCTTTCGACTTGCTTCGCGTTCCCGCAGACCAAAAAGTATCCCCACCAGTTACATACAACAGGATCTGCGGTTCGCAGTCCTGTCTGTGACGAGGCTGCCCCCTCTCCACTTCGGCGCTGGCACGATGCTGTTGTGTCACCTACCGCACGGATGTCGTCTTGGAGTGCCTGTCGGACCTGCTCGTTTTTGTCGGGCTTTATGCCGACTCACACCGGGTGATCGACCTCTGCGTGTTCATGGTCGCGCCGCCGCGCCATTTTGGCTGCGCCTACTTGATGGTCGCCACCGGGATTTCCACGCCACCGGGTTGGGAGTGCCGTTCCTGGTCCTCCTTCTGAGTGGCTGCCCGCGCGCTCGCTTTGCTTGCCCCTCTTTTTTCTTACTGCCTAGTCGTGGCTCGGCTAATGTTCGGGCGGCGTGTTTTTGTGTGTTCACGCTTCATGTTTGTGTATCAGTAGGTTGTTGTTTATTGTATGATCGCTGGCAGGTTCGAAGTGCCATCATACTCTGATTCCGTTGTTGTTCTCTCCTCCGCTGCTATAATGCAGTCGCTGTTCTTTTGAACTGCTGTCCTTTGTTCTTGTGCGATCACTGCTTCTTCTCATTCTTATTCTCGGGGTACTGTTTCGGGCGCCATCGGGACACCGACGGGACGCCGCGCTCGCGGTTCGCCAGATGAGTAGGAACATTCCACGCGGCTGACACGGAGGTTGATAACAACCGGCTTAACAACCCTAGCCTTGGAGGGTGTGCCCTGATGTCTTTCGTGTTTAGGCTCTCCGAGTTCGTCTGCACTTCTCCTCCTCCTCCTCCTCCTCCTCCTCTTCAGAAGGTCTGCACGATCTGAGGGTTTTACGGCCGTCCCATGGCCTTCCTTCTCCTCGCCCCCTCGCCCGCCTGCGCCTCCTGTGCCTCCATTCGCCACGGACGCGCGCCCCGCCGCGTGCTTGGCCGCGCCGCTCGTGGGGTCCGCTTCGCCGCAGCCCAAGGGTTGCCTGGGCTCTCGGAGGACTCGTGCGGGGGATGTGCGGGTCTTGTTACCAAGAGCCGTTGGGCTCCTGAGTGTGAGCCGCTGCTCGTCCGACTTCCCCTGCAGCGGGGGAGTTCTGGCTGCACGCTGTCCTCGAGAGTGTCCGTGTCTGGGGCACCTCCATGGGCTCCATGGGGCCTCGGGCCTCCGGCGAAGGGGCCTGGTGCTCTCGACCTCTGCCCGTTGTTTTGGGGCGGTGCTGGTTTTCTGCGCGGCGGCCTTCGCGCTCATCGAACTGCGCTGTGACAGGACTGTGCGAGCACGAACTGCAGTTTCCCAGCAGGGCCAGCTCCCCGAGTCTCCAAGACGGGCCGGTCGCCGACAGTAATACTTCTTCTGCTCCCCAGGCGCAACCTTTTTTTGGCGCCGTGCCGCTCCAAGAGTCCATGGCTTCTCGCTGGAACTTAACCGCCCACGACTTGGGCGTGCCGCAACCCAGTCTGCACACACCGCCTTCCCCTCCTGTTTCCACCAACTGCCTCCCGACGGCCTGCATCAGCATCGTTTAACCGATCCCCATCCCCATGCCCATCCCCTTCGAGACCCCCACCAAATTACCGCCCCAGTCGGGGATGCACCCCTCGATGCCCGAAGGGAACGACCTGTATCCCCATCCAGGGAGGGCAGATCGGCCAGCGGGGCCCAGGCCACGCTGCTGGGGATGGGGAGCGGTGAGACGACACTCACTGCAGGCCAGGAGGAGGAGGAGGAGGAGGAGGAGGAGGAGGAGGCAGGCAGGAGGAGGAGGGAGGAGGAGGAGGAGGGAGGAGGAGGAGGAGGAGGAGGAGGAGTAGGAGGAGGAGAGAGGAGGAGGAGGGAGGAGGCGGAGGAGGAGGAGAGAGGAGGAGGAGGAGGAGGAGGAGGAGGAGGAGGAGGAGGAGGAGAGAGGAGGAGGGGAGGAGGAGGAGGAGAAGAGAGAGGAGGGGGCTCCGTCCTCGTCCCCCCTGTCTGCCCAAGCGGCCGCGCGCGGCCGAAAGGCCGGCTGCCGAGGAGAAGGACGTCTGGCGGCGCACCCCCGGCCGGGGCCCGCGGCCGGGGCCCGCAGCCGCGGCCCTCGGCGGGCCCTCGGGGCCCCTTCGTGCGGGGTGCGGGAGGTCGGGGGGTCGGCCCGACCCTTCCCTCCTCCTCCATTCCCCCTCCCCCCTCCCCCCTCCTCCTCCCCCTCCTCCTCCTCCTTCCTCCCCCCTCCCCTACCTCCTCCTCCTCTCCTCCTCCCTCTCCTCCTCTCCTCCTCCTCCTCCTCCTCCCCTCCTCCTCCTCCTCCTCCTCCTCCTCCTCCTCCTCCTCCTCCTCCTAGGGTCAGGTCGGGCACGTCCCTCTGCAGGAGGAATCTGCAGAAGCAGTCAAGAAAGAGTCTGGGAACGACTTGGGGATTGCTGGTCCAAAGCTATATTTTTGAGCATTTTTAGAGTCTTTGATGTATCGTCCAAAATCCGCCTGTAGGAGGACATGCCCGGCCTCAAGCTGGGGGGCCGCGTGGAGCCGATCCCCCTTCGCCGTCCCTCGCTGGCCCGGGTATAGCTGCTGAGTGGCCGGCTGGGGTCGGGACGTGGCCCTGGCCGACCCAGGCTGTCAGCGCCGACCGGCGGTTCAAAGATGGGGTCCTGAGGTATGGGGTCCTCAGGATAGGCAGGGATCCAGGGGCGGTTTTACATGGATTGAGGCACCTCGTTCTTAGGGACCCCATCCCGAAGGACCCCATCTTTGAACTGCCGAGCTGACCCAGGTCAGCGTGGTCTCCATCGGAACCAGGGGGCGCAAGCGGCGGCAGGTCTCGAAGGTCATCTTCCCGCCTTTGGGAGGTCGCGCAGGGGACGGCGGCACCGCAGGAGGTACGCTCACCGGGCGGGTGCTCCGGCAGCGTGCAGCAGAGCGGTGGCAGGTGGCAGGAGTCGGGAGCGGAAAAGAGGGGGGTGATGACTAGGGGGGGGTGGATATCATGGCGCGGGCCATGATATCTCCGCAGATTTCATGGCGCCTCTTCTTATTTCATTACGTCCCTGGCCCCCCCGCTGGGCCGCGCACATGCCGCTGGCCATGATTTGCACCCCCCCCTCTTGGACACCCCCCTCTTGGCCGCTCCCGAAGGAGAGCGCCGCTTTCGCACGGGGTGGCGCAGGAAAGCGGCAGGGAAAGCGCCACCTCCCTACATCGATATAAGTCCCCGTCAGCAGAGCAGTCACGAGGGCGTCGCTGAAGGGGCACTGTTTGGGGACGCGTTTCGCCTCGGGGGTTGTTGCGCCCGCGCTGATCGGAAGACAGATGCCACTCGAGCAACACACAATGACCTAAACATGCATCGGAGGTCCGCGTGGGTCTCTCGGATCGGCGTTGGATCCATCTCCCTGGCGCGCCGATTCGGGAAATCCGCGCGGACCTCCGAAAGATTACGTGTGTGTGTGTGTGTGTTTTTTTTTTGTTGTTGTTGTTGTTGTTGTTGTTGTTGTTGTTGTTGTTGTTGTTGTTGTTATTGTTGTTGTTGTTGTTGAACATTATTAATTCTAAAGAATAATTATTGTTGGGACCCCTGGTGCACGGCCCCCCTGCGCCGCCTAGGCCGCAGCTACATTTTCATCATTTTCGTGAGGAAGCCTCAGGTAATTCGATGTGATCAAGATCCGGTTGTTTTGTTCCCCCCCGCTTTCCCTTGCAAAAAACACTATAAAATGACATTTCTTGTTCTAATATAATCAAATTTCAAGAATCCCTTGCAAAAAATAAGGTAAAGTGGACATTCGCGCGCGCAAGACGAAATCCTTCCAAAAGCTTAGTGTTCGGAGCGATTTTAACATAAAAACATCAAAAAACCAATGGTTTTTCAACAAAAAAATGTCAAAATCTCATCCCGCGCGCTCTTG